ATGTCATTTGCTGGTGTCGATCCACTGTGTTTTCTGAGGTCCGAGGTCAAAGCAGCCGTCTACCAGGAAGTTTTAGAGCACTTCATTCTCCCTGCTGCTGACAAACTTTATGGAGATGCAGATTTCATTTTCCAGCAGGACTTGGCACCTGCACACAGTGCCAAAGTTACCAGTACCTGGTTTAAGGACCATGGTATCCCTGTTCTTAATTCGCCAGCAAACTCGCCTGACCTTAACCCCATAGAAAATCTGTGGAGTATTGTGAAGAGGAAGATGTGATACACCAGACGAGCTGAAGACCACTATCAGAGCAACCTGGGCTCTCATAACTCCTGAGCAGTGACACAGACTGATCCACTCCATGCCACGCCACATTGATGCAGTAATCCAGGCAAAAGTATTGAGTGCTGTACATGCTCATACTTTTCATGTTCATACTTTGCAGTTGGACAATTCTAAAAATCCTTTTTTTTTTTTTATTGGTCTTAAGTAATGTACTAATTTTCTGAGATACTGAATTTGGGGTTTTCATTAGTTGTCAGTTATAATCATCAACATTAAAATAAATAAACATTTGAAATATATCAGTCTGTGTGTACTGAATGAATATAATATACAAGTTTCACTTTTTGAATGGAATTACTGAAATAAATTAACTTTTTCCATGATATTCTAATTTTATGACCAGCACCTGTACTCTGTCTTACTACTGATTTTCATTCTCTTCTTTCAAGTGCACATATCTTGATTATGCCCATAAAAACACACACTGCATAATATTTATATAAAATGGCACCTTTAATGACAGGTTACAAGCAAAATTTTAACTTCGCAAATTTATTTGCAAGACATGAATTGATGAAACGTGACCAATGTAAAATTAGACTTTAAAACCTTTAATATTTTTAAAAAATTAAAAAACTGAGTTGAAAATACAATCAATCCTAAAAATATTGAATTTATCAGAATTTTAATAGTCATCAAAACAACTTTACTGTTGTGTAAATATGACTGTTTTCACATGTACCACCATGCTGTGTTTACCGAGAGGTTCATCCAAGTGTATCATCTCACCTGCTGCACGCAAACTCCTTGCAGAGCTACAAGTCGACAGGGTGTGAGCTGGTTCCCGTTGTTTCCCAGTCCCAGCTGTCCGTTCCCATTGTAACCCCAACCGTACACCTGCAGGGAGACGATAAGAGCACGAGAGGTCAGGCAGGCGGAGCAGGGAAACACCGTCAATGTAGCTCTGCTTTAACTGTGAAAAGAAATTCATTCAAAATCACCTCTCCGTTGTCCACCAAGGCCAGAGAGGAGGTCTGGCCACAGACGACACCGACAGCCACCTTGTTCTGCAGGCAGTTGGACACTCGGCGAGGTGTGGGCTGGTTGGCTGTGGAGCCAGAGCCCACCTGACCACAGTTGTTGTAGCCCCACGCGTACACCTGCCGGACACGACGACAAAAGAAAGTCTCAAAAACCCTTTGAAAAGCAGAAGATAGATAAAGTTTCTATTTTAATCCACTTTTATAATCCTTTCTTTTAAAATAAAGTCGGGACATCGTCCCCTCGTATATTTGTCTAAATTCCACCTCTTTAAGCAGTTTCCTGGATGTTATTCTGACATTATTCATGCTTTAAAGGATCCAAGTTTCCAGCGTTGCGTTCATGAGAAGTAGCAACAACTGAGCATTTCATCATGATCCGACTGAAACTAGTGTAAAGTAACTGCACTGAAGTGAGACCCCTGGCCTCTGACTCTAAACATTTAACACAAGGTACATAACTAAAACTGCATGCATTAGGCCAAAAAAAAAATAAATACCCAGGTCAGAAGATGGTACCTTTTAAAGAACTGGCACTTTTCAGGCTTCAGCAGCTTTTCCCCACTTTTCTCCCTCACCCTCCTTCATAAAATCTGTTTATTAAATCACCATTGGTTTTCTTTATAAAGTCTGGAGTGGAAAATGTGGGCTAGCCTATGTGTAGTTGGAATGCAGCTTTGCTGTGGATCAGTTTGAAGCACAATAGATGCCTTATTGTTGAACCCATTTTCCAGATTTTTATCTCAAAGCAGATCAGCTGTAGCTGTGACTGGACTTCAGATTGAGTTGATGCTGCATGACCGAGCACCGACTCTGAACAGGAAAGAAGGATTTGTTTACAGGTTTGATAGAAATGGGTCATTCTCTTTATTTATCCCTAAACACTTACCTCTCCAGAGTCAGTCAGAGCCAGGGAGTGGTGAGAGCCACAGGCCACATCTGTGACCTTCTTAGTGAGCAGGTTGGCAGACACGATCACTGGAGCCACGCCCTGATTGGTCGTCCCATTTCCAAGTTGGCTGTAGCCGTTATGCCCCCAGGCGAATAGCTCTCCATCTATTAAAAAAAAACATAAATGGTCACTCTGCTGCACATTTGAGCTCAACTGGGGGCCGAGATGGTGTAGAGGCAGGGCAGCCGGCTTGGGACCCGAAAGTCCCAGGTTCGATCCCCAGTCACTGCACATCACGTGGCGTCTCTGGGCAGCACAACTCATCCCCAAAATGCCCCCCGGGCGCTTTCAATAGCTGCCCACTGCACCACCTGGTGGTGGATGGGTTAAATGCAGAGACTAATTTCGCCATTGTATGGAAACATGCAGTGCTGACATTGTGATGACATTGTAGTGAACTAAGCCTGAGGTCAAATCCTGACCTTAAGGACCTTATGGGACAGAAACTGTCATTTCATTGATTTGAATCCAGAAATACAGGTTGACCCATCCTGAGACTTTCTTTCTTGAATTAATCAAGTGAAAGAACACTCTCTTTTCTATTATCATTACTATTTTACAAATGTTTGATAATCAAAGTGTTTTTAGTTCAAACCATTTTTAGATGTTGCAGTGAACTAATCATTTTTAATTAACTGTGAAACAGTAATAATGATTTTAATCCTCATGCAAAGTATAAATCATGTTAAGGTCTGTTACAGAGTAATTATGCATTTTCTGATTTTCTGTCTTTGAATGAGCAAGTGTAAGTTGGTCCAAGGTTGGAGTCAAACGCAAAACAAGTTGTTGGAACGAACTGTCATGTTTTTAGAATCCTCTCAGACGTAAATATAGAGGCTGGCACCTGTTTTCCCCCAACTCATCTAAATATTCCTCTCGTCTGTCTTTAAAACATTTTCAATCTGTTCCATAACATTCTTGCTGTTTTCCTGACTCCTAGTGACCTCTTACGTCACGAAAACACACCCGTCTGGTCGAAACGACCAATCAGGAAACTCCCAAATGAACCGGAAATAGAGCCCTTTAAATGTCGGTACTTCCTAGTTCAAACCAGTCGCTTCAGGCTCCGGCTTCAGTCGTTGCAGCTCCAGTGCTGGGAAACAGGAAAATCCCGACATGATCCAGAGCTCTTCCGAGTATTGTGGGATTATGACATCTTCCACCTCTGAGTGGAACTCCTGACGGACTCACTCCTCTTGTGAGTCCACCAAGAGGTGAATCTGTGTCAGACGGAATACCGTCACTACTTCGGACGATTCACAGCTGTTCCTACGGAGACGCTGAAAGGGTGCGTTAAATGGAACTTCGTACCAGGGAGACATCTCCAGGTAAAAGAGTTGATTTATACCACCTAAGTGTACTGGGGAAGAAGCTGGGAACTCACCGGAGAGTGCCGTTCTGATGCTGACACACATTTCCCTCGTCCATCTTTTTCTCTCAACTTAAACTTCATCTTTCCATCCTTAAAATTCTTCTATCTGCTAGAAATTAATCCAGATATTTTAGAAATGTCTGTTGTACAAAAAGAAGCAAGGGAAACAATCGCCGTATTGTTCCCTCCTTGTAAAACTTGCCATGTTGTTGTTGAAATCATTTTGCCAAATTAATGTAAATGTGTGATGTGTTTAAATCGTTTTTAAATAAATGACCCACTGTCGTTGGTGAGTCAAAGATAAACACGTTTCCGTCCACATTTTATTAAATTCAGATGCACGTCATTATACAGTCCAGAAAAATGAAAGAATCCGTTTTAATTTATGAATATATACAGCATATGTTCATCTACAACATTATTATTATTATTATTAACTCTGGAGAAAAGTCATGAAGTTACCCTCTGTGGCCAGCAGGACGTGGGGTCCACTACCGTAGCTCAGACTCACTACCTTCCTGCCGCTCAGGACGTCCAGCTTCTTGGGCATGATGGTGCTCTGGCTGTCCCCCGTTCCGAGGCAGTTACTGCAGTTCAGCCCAAACACATACACCTGAGTGCAAGAGGGAAAACGTCATAAGGTCCAGTGAAAGGGATGGAACCGGGGGCAGAACCAGTGAGCTGAGTGGGTTACAGGCCGTGATACAGTCACACAAACTGGCAACTGTGAAACACGCCCTCCTCAAGAACCGTCACACTGCAGCAGCTTCAGTCAAAGAGGTGACAGGTGCAGCAAAGAAGCTTTTTATAAATTATAGCAGTCTGCATCCTGCTTTGTATGATTATCACTTAGAAACCAAGTTTTAAGTTTTAATATAACTAAAGCGTTTAGTCAGGAAATCATATGAACTCATTGGTAAGTCATCATACAAAAATATTTTACAATCCCATTTTTAACACTTTGTCATCAAATAAATATTTGATCTACCTGCTGCTGGTACAAACAGTACTAGAAAGGCCAGCTTTAGATTTTGACTCCTACTTTTATAATTAAGGTCTTATAAAACACCCAGTTCTAGAATACATTTTTAGATATATAAATGCGTTTTTCTTTTTAAGACAAAAAGTTTTATATTTTAATTTAATTGGTTAAGTTTTTGTCTCTACATCTCATAAGGAATATACTTTAACTCAACTCAGTGGTTATAAACGGTGATGGGTGCAGCTTCAAACATCTCCACTGACACGATGTTAAAGGAAGACATAATGCATTACTTCGTGTTGGATTGCTAATTCTTGGGACGTCCTGATGCATGCTCAATAATCCAGGTAGTTAAATCTAACAAGGTTAAGTCAGGTCACTTATTCTGTCTTTTTGGAAATAAAGACGAAACGTTTGGAAGAATCCGTCCAGAGGACTGGACTTAACCTTGTTAGATACTCCAAGGATGTTTATCGTCTCTTGCTCATGAAAAAAGGATATAAACTGTACATCAGCTGGATGTAAAACAAGTTGGGAAACATTAAAAAGGTGGAAAACAGTGAAGAATATTATGGTAAATGTGAATTAACCTGCAGAAACAACAGGTCTACACAGGATACACTGCTCAACTTCCTAACAGTAAAAAGATGTTTCTCCTCAGACCTCTCACCTCGTCATCATTGGTGATGTAAATGGCTTCATTTGCAGATAAACCAAACACACAGGCCTTCCTTATGGAGGAGAGCTCCTCGGGCGCCATCAGGCTGAAAATGGGCCACTTGGTCACATCCACCATGATGCGTTCACTGACAGTCTGCGACGACGAGGACAGCAGGTTGGAGCGGAGGACCCCAAAGTCAGGGGCAGGAGAGGCTTTAGATAGGAAATGATGTCAGAGCTGCAGACACTGATGTGTGTGTGTGTGTGGGGGGGGGGGGGGGGGTGTCCAAACAAACAGATGCAGATTTATCTTCATAAAACGTTCAGTGAAAAGCATGAATCTGAGCAAAGAAAAAGAAAAATGTCCACGCCGTTAAGAGTTTAAAAGCATTTTACAGACAAAACACTCAGTTTGAACTGGTTTAAAATATTCTCACAGAAATGTAAAAAAATAAATAAAGCTGAAGAACCCAAAGCCTCATCCTCAACTTTTAAAAAGTAAATGGACAAAATTTATGCAAACCCTTTCTATGCTGGGTTCACTGTCCTGCCCATGGGACACTTTCACATGCTCAACTTATTTGTCGCACCAAGGACATGTGGCGTACATAAATGTGTATAAATATAGGTGGAATTGAACCCCCGACTCTTTACTGGAGCACGACTGCTCTAATCACAACCACATTTGACTACTACTTTTTTATTTTTCGGCTTTTCCCTCTTCAGGGGTCTCCACAGAGAGTCATCCTCCTCCATCTCTGTCCTCACTCCAACTACCTCCATGTCCTCTCCAACGTCATGCTGCTGCGTTCATGTGTGCTCATCTGCTCACACTCATGTTCGTGCTGCTGTTCAGCGTATTGTTTTTATGCTACTAGTGCTTAGTGTATTATACAACATATAAATACACAGTGTGTTAAACGTTTTTCTTAGTTCATATCTTAGATCTTACCGCTTTTCTTATACATTAGGGCCACCTGCATCATGAAGGACCCCACTCACCCAGCACACACACTTTTTGCCCCACTCCCCTCAGGAAGGAGGTTAAGGAGCATTAAGTGTAGAACCACTAGACTAAGGAACAGCTTCTACCCTGAGGCTGTTAGACTCATGAATCTCTAACTAGAATAATCACTGTGAAAAACCACATCATGTTGCTGCTGATCTGTTTCATGTTGCTGCTGATTTGTTTCAATGTTGATGTGTTCATGCGTGCACATCTGCTCACAGACTCATGTTCATGTTTGTGCTGATGTTCAATGTTTTATGTTATGAGTGCTTAGTGTATATTTAGTTGATGTTTTTCTTAGTTCATATCTTAGATGTCATTACTGTTTTTCTTATACATTTTATTGTTGGATGTAACTGGGACCCCGTGTACATAATTTCGCTCCACCACATGTACCACATGAGGTGCGAATGGCAATAAAGAAACTCTGACTCTGACTCTGACATTAATACTTTTGTTGGATATAACTGGGACCCTGTGTAGACAATTCCGTTCCACCACATGTACCACATGTGGTGCGTAGGACGAATAAAGGACCTTGAATCCTTGAATAACTGCATCCATCCATATATCTCCTCTTTGTCTTTTTCCTGGCAGCTGCATTTCTAACATCCATCTACCAGTAAACCCACTGTCCCTCCTCTGGACATGTCCAAACCATCTCAGTCTGGCCTCTTTAACTTTATCTCCCAGTACTAAAATTACTAAAACAGCATGAGACCTTTTTAACAATAGAATAAAATGCACACAAACTCAGAAAGAGTTGAAATGTCCTCCAAATATCCTGAATACATGTGTTCCTGAAGGCAACTCCAAATGTATGGAGGCAGTCTAAAAGCAAAAATTCCTGTTGTGTTGAAAAATAAAGCTGAACAGGTCTAACATTTATTAGTTTTTTAAAAAGCTGGATACTCTTGTGGTGTATTCCCACAACTGTTTGCACATATATTTCTCATTTTCTTCAAATATGTCAATATTGCATTGGAACCTCGATGGACTAAAGATTTTTGAAGAATCTGAACTTTGGGAACTCAAAGTGTTGTCATGCTTGGTTGTGGTGAGTGCAGTAACCCCTCGCTGTTACCTGAAAGCAGCTGGTTATCGTTTGTCACTGTTTACAAACACGTTGTTCAGCTGAACTGTGCCGCTCACACCGTTCAGCTCTAGACTAATCCTTTCGGAAAGTTCCTCGACCCTGCGCCATTTCCTCTGAAATAAACACAATTTAACAGTTTAGCCTGAAAGAAAAGTAACAGATTTGTTTAGACTCACCTGTGAGACGAGTATATTTGCGTAGATGTTTCCTCTGGTTGTTTCACCATGGCAGACAGACCACACAGCCGAACTGCTGCCTTTTGTCGAGCCGCTGCTGCTGCGCTCAACTACCGCCTGGGTACGCACCATTTATATACAGGCGCGCCGGGTGGGCGGTGTTTTGTAATTAAATCTGGCCGATTTATTAACTGCCAAATTACTTCCAACTTTTTTTTTTTTTTTTACACATTAATCTTTAACGTTCCGACACACTCTTTCTAGAAATATGGGTGCACCTCCTTCCATCCGACAACTTTTTCCTCGACGCTGATAAGCACTTTTAGCAGGATTTTGCAACGGCAGACCGTTAAGGAGCAGACCCACTGACGTTTTGTTTCCGGAAAAGACGAAGAGGGATCGCGTCACGTGACAACAATAAAGGGCAAGTTCACACACTTTCTCTTTTTTTAAATTAAATAAACTTAGGAAAAGTTGCATTTTTTTTTATTCCCTACCACTCTACATATTCCTGGTTCAACTTAAAGTCAGAATGTTAAAAATCTACTAAATTAAAACGAATATATACTTTTTTTTAAAACATATGCATCATGTCACCAAGAACACTTTGAATCTCAAAGGTTGTGGTTTTACATGATTTCACTTATAAAATCAGGCTGTGCCAAACGAGTTGTGACTTTAACACCAAAAGCAAGTGGGCCTGTCATAATCCAAAATGCTTTTAAAATGAATGATGACAAGAGTTGGAAGAGATGAAACACTACGATTGTACATTCAGACAAAAATTAAACTAAGAAAAAAGTTAAACACATTCCTTCTTTTGGTCGAGACGAGGAATGGTAAAATTCCTGGCAACAATCACAAACAAGCTTGAAGAACTGAAAGGATACAGAGAACATTGAGAATTTGTCATTAAGAAACAGAAACAAACTCCAGGCACCAATTGCTCTGTACTCAGTATTTAGACACAAACTGCACTGATGCAACAGGACAGCAGTGTTTGCTAACAAATGTTGTAATGTTAGAGGCGTGTCTGCACACCCAAACATACTAAACTAAAACTTGGGAGCTCCTGCCGTGTTTACTCGATCAGCTGTTTCACCTGCTGAATGTGAGGTCATCAGCCGAGCAGCTGGCAGGGAAACAAACAACTCCAATGTATTCACAGCAATCACACGTAGCAAGCAGATTTTTTTTAAATAATTTTTAACATTACAAAACTTATTTACATTGTAAAAACAATAATTATATTTGGAGATTAATAAAATCTATTTGATTTCAATTTATGCTGTGCTTGATCAACTACGATACTACTTTGATGGTCCTTTTGTTTAGATTTTAAAATATTTTTCATACCATGCTTGGCGTTCATTGTGGACAGCAAAGTAAGAATTTCATTGCTCAAGGAAACATGTTTCCAGTTGTGCTCAACACTTTGAATCCTTTGGTATTGTCCTTCAAATCAATGGTCAAGTACGGGACTCTGGATTTAGGTTGAGCAGTAATAAGCACCGGCTATCAACGCTGAAAGGCCATGTTGCTCGTGTGCATCTGTGCAGTGTTAAAATGTCTCAAACAACTGGGGAGATCAGAAAACATTTGGAATCAACCCCCTTAAAGATGGCTGCCACAGCTAACTGGCCATAGCAAACACAAAAAAGGCAATAACTCAAGTTTTATACATAATAAGCTAATTTTGGTGTTAACATACTCCGAACGCCAACAGATGTTGCAGCATTGCATGATCATTTACAAGGTTTGATCAAAACTACTCTTACTCCATACCTTCCCATCATATGACTTTTGTTTAAATCTTGCATGAAAGGTGACCCGTATCCCTTCCTTTCGGGTTTCTTATCAAATACTGCACTTTATCGCAACAAAGTCCATAAGAAACCCCTTAAAGTCTGGAGGTTGAGTTAATCATTACCAACAATGACCTAGTGAGTTAAGGATAGGGAAGTGTGGTATTCATAAATCACAACACATGCAACCATCCAACAGCTAACCAGGTTTTATTTTGGTTAGAATCAGAAACACAATGTCCTGAAGGAGCGATTGAAAAAAAAAAAAAAAAAAAAAGAAGATACCATAATCATTTAACGGAAATTATGGCAGTTATGGTTTCTGGTGCTGAGGAAGATGAGTGGAAGGAACGATGTAACTTCAGTCTGAGCGAGACAGAGCAGCAATGACCATTCTCTGAGCAAATTACTGCAGCCACATCTCCCGCTTGAAGATTCTCCGGTTTGCTCCGATTTATTTATTTTTTACTATTCAGTAAACTTCAGTTTTAACTGGACAGAAAAAACAAAAAGGCACAATGATTTCTTTTCAACTCGCTGTCTTTAATTATGCACAAGAGTTGAAAGCATCAATGAGCCACCTTAAAGAGAGGAATTCAATCTAAAATTTATAAAAAGATACAAACAATCAGAGGCCAAAATGCTGTCTGTTGCTTTTCTTTCATTTTAGTTTAAAACAACTTTTCAATAGCAAGTAAAAATCTTGCAAACACAAGCTTGTATCCAGTTCAGATACAAGACAACAAAATTGTAAATCTTTAAAGTGGCTCGGTCTAGACCGCTAGTTAATGACTGTACACCCTCTATAGTTTTTGTTCAGCAATATTAGCTAGTGTCCCGTCCAAAAATAAAAATAAAAAACAAGTCTTGGGTGTTTATTACAACCCTAGCCATTATTTAAAGTCCCCGTCGCTACTCTGAACCCCCACTGTGTAGTTAGCAGCCAATCAGCAGATCATAAAGTCTGCAAAACCAGGGCTAGGGCCAGGATTAAAGTTTAACACATTAAACCCAAATCCAAACACCAACTGGAACAAGAGACGGCACATTTTTAAAAGAGCCGTCGTCACAACTAAGAGGAGAAAAAAACAAAACAATAAACCCAGCCTATTCTGAATAATCAGCATGTCATCACAATACATAGGCAAGTCAAAAATAAAAACAGAAGAAATATTGCTTCAACAGAAAACCCCCTTCCTGCCATCTTTGACAGTTATTCATACATCTGTCAACTGCAGCAGCTTTGTACAGGCTTTATATATATATATTCATATATTCATTAGACGGCAAGGAGAGATGCACATCGTGTATCTTTTTTTTTTACAATTATTCAAACTGAGTGATGACATGTGAGCTCTTCATCAAAAGTAGTTAAGTATTGTAAAAATCAGGACCTGTACTCTTTAAGTCTAGTCTTTAATGGGTTCAGGTCCTGTTCTGCAGCAGACACCATTACGTCTCTTAAATGTGTGCATAAGACTAAATTAAAGAAAAAGAAAAACGACAAAGAGGCTCCACAGACACAACCAGATGGTAAAACATGAAATTGTTTAAAGTGAGGTAAAAAATAATAATTAAAAGTTATGATCAGATGAGCAATTCTGGGCTTTTTGTTGTTGTTGTTTGTGTTAAACGTCCCCTTCAGAGTTTTCACATTACAGCGGAGTCCTGACAAACCAGTACACCGGAGAGCAGTGAGCGCAAGAAAAACACATCCAGCAAGAGAAAGGGGGGGAATGAACGCTACAGGGGACATGTTCCTCTTCTCTTCAAGTCTCTGTGCCTTCACTTGAGGTTGCTCCCCCCAACGTGACGGGTATTCACATCCATTAAAAAAAATGTTTCTCTTCTGAATCAGAAGCAGTTTGTAGGTTTTTGCAGTTACGTGTTGAACAAAAAAATATGGCATTTTCTTCACATTTTGAAGATTTTTTTTTTTTAAGTCTGAAAATTCAACATAAAAAAGTGACGTCATCGAGTAAGAAGTCCCATTAGTCCTCATTTTGTTTTACCTTATAGCCCTTCCATGTCCCTGTACCTGACAGAAAGGGGGGGGGGGGTCTGTAGTTGATCATGGCTTAGCTCTGGAGAATAATTCTTTAAAATGGGGTGTGCGTGGGCATTGTGAATCAGTGTGATCAAGTGTGCCCTTGTAGTTCAGTGTCTGTGTGCGTGTAGGTGAATATACACCAGAAGACAATCCAGGGGAGGGGAAAGCACAAAAATAAACTACAAACAGCAGTATTTCCTCCCATAAGTGATACGACTGCTTCTTACAACACTAATCTTAAGTGTCAAAAGGTGTATTTATATATATATATATATATATATAAATGTGTATATATTATATATAAATGTGTGTGTTTGTGTCTGAAAATGTGCTTGTTTTTTTGTCTTTGTAAAGACTCAACGTTTGGCAATCAAATCATGCCAAGAAGGTTTTTTCTTCCTTCCGGGTTTTACCTTTCAAGTGATATTTAGATGTGCTGGCAGCACAGACCGTACTCCTCATGCAGGCTGCCAGGTGGCTGCGCTGCCTGTTGAAAAACCAGGACTCCTATGAAGAGTAGCTCTGCTCCAAAAAGAAAGAAAAAATATAAAAACACCCCACAGTGCCAAGATGGACAGGAGAAAACCCTTCAGTGGCGAGTTTCCAAGTTTTGAAGAGATGCTTTTGAAGGATCTTTCTGTATCGAGTTTGATTGTTGGGGAAGATGGATGAATGTCTGCGATAACTACAGAGTACCCGTGCAACTGGTGGAAACTAATCCTGGGCTGTTAGAAATTAAATTCCTTTGTTTGCATGTTGGGTGCTGAATCAAAGTTGAAGGTTCCTCCTTGAGTGGTTTCAGGGATCAAACTGGGATCTTCATCAATCTGGAAAATAAAAACAAAAAAGTGTTGAAAAACCGCATCAAGATGTGAATGAAGAGGCAAAGCAGCAAACGTGAGATAAACTTACATCATCTCCTGAAAAGTACTGATCAATAATTTCAAAGGCTAGTTTGTAGATATCTTCATTCTCGTGCTGCTGCAAATTTTCTATTTTCTCCAAACCTTGAAAAGAAACAAAACAAACCCAAAACATTTAAAGCAGCGACTCCAGTTCTAAAATCATTGTTTGATAGTTGCTAAATGATGAAAAAGATTTCATCAAAATTAAGAGCAGAACCAGATGAAACAAACCTCCACACTCCTCTATGATTTCAGCAATAGTACTGGCTTCGTCTCCAGCCATGATGAGAATATTCTTGAGGCCGTCCAGGACCACCTGCACCACCTGAGAGTCTTTCACCGACAGCAGGTTACAGAACGGAGGGATGACGTTCTGCTCCACCAAGAACTCCACCTACACAAACCCATACATACACACCACATTCATACTTTATTCCAACACAAATGCACAGTTACAGTCTGGAAAACATCGATTTTAATTAAACAAAAACAACAACAAGCCTCACTGGTTTATTATGACCTAAAAAAAAAAGCAGAATTTGAGCAAACATTTACAAATGAAAGACCTTAAAGACTGCGCTGGTAAAGAAAATGTTTTGAAGCATGTAAAAGATCTCGTACGTGGAAGCAAATACAAAATGTCTAATGAGTGGAAAAGCTCACCTGGTCTTTCCTTCCACTGATAGTGAGGTTACTGATGGCCCATGCTGCCTCCTTCTGAGTGCCAAAGTCACCCTGTGGAGAGTCAGGCTGTCACTAGCATGTACAACCACAGCATTACTGTCAGGGAACACTGAACCTCTAACCCACACTTGGGAACATTTCATTTGCCGGTTATCTTACAGAAAGCATCGTTTCTGAATGCATACAGTTAACATCGACATGCTTTTCCAAATGTCTAATCTGCTTCCATCTGTGTGTGTAGAGAAGTGACTTTAAGGAACAGATAATGCAATGCTTATATTTAGCACAGACCTTAGCCAGTTGGTGAATGATCATAGGAATTAACCCGGCATCAATCACAGCCTGGACCTGCTGCTGGTTGCCTGCTGTGATGTTGGACAGAAACCAGACTGCTTCCTGCAAACGAGCCAATCACAAACAATCAAAATCATCTCCATTATTTTACCAATTCACCTTCTTTCAGCTATATCTTGATTTAATACCACCTATGTGTTAAACATCACCAAGGCAGTAGTAATGATGTTCATCACAAGTACAGATAAAACAAAAACTGAGATCAAGACAGACTGAAGCTTTGGGTCTGATACCTTGTTGATCTTTTCTTTAGGGTGGGTGAGCAGGTTGGGGAAATGTGAGAGGACGTCACAGTTCAGAACCACCTGCGTCTGCTCGTCTGTTCCCGTCACAATGTTTCCGACTGCCCTCAGAGCTGCCGTCTGGATTTTGAGAATTAAAGGGAGCAAACATTTACAACTCCTTTGACGCTTGATTACAGAGGGCTAAATGGAAAAACGGCACTAGATTTGATGCAAACGGGAACAACGGTCTTACCTGAACTTTCACCTCCTGATGGCTGAGGAGAGGCACGAGAAATGGAACCACGCCAGAATCAATGACCATCTGGATCTGCTCGTTGCCTCCGTCCGTCAGATAAGACAGAGCCCACACCGTGTCTACTAGTATCTGAAGACACGGGTCATAATAATCGTGTTAATAGTGTGAAAAAAGGCAAAAAGCAACAATTTGCTTTCAAACAAGTGCCATATTTTCCGCCATACACATTGCACTACCCTATAAGTCGCATCAGTCCAAATATGTCTAATAAAATGGGAAAATTCATAAATACGTCGCTTCACCGTATATGTTGCATCTATTACGCGTCACCATTGACGGGTCGCTTTTGTTACGCGTCACCACCAACATCCCGGAAATGTGGGCCATTGTTGTGCCAAAAACCGATTGGCTGCCAAATGACAGCCGCGGGAGCGTGCACGGGGAGGACTTTAACAAGAATTTAACTAGATTAACACTTAATTATTTGTTTGCTCAAAATTATAGTAAAGGTGTGTCTCAGTCTAACTTTTCCTTAATAAATGCACTTTGACGGTCAAATTAGCTGCATTTCAAAAACCAATACACAGAAACAAACGCGCAGAGGGCGACTCGCTGTCCATTTCTTCAAAATTTAACAAAATAAGCACCTAAAAACAATTATTTGTTAGGTCAACTTCATAGTAAAGGTGTGTCTCAGTTGAACTTTTACTTAATAAATGCACTTTGACGGTCAAATCAGCTGCATTTTGCCAGGGCGGTGCAGCGAAATGTAGCTGATTCGTTTGCTCCAGGCAGACGACGGTGGCAGTCTGTCGTAAGCAGATTGTGTCATTAATAACCACTTTTACCTAGTACATGACACAACGGCATGCTATACTACTCTGCTGCCATCTAGTGGCCGAAAATGGTAGTGTTCAATATTTTCAGTCAGAATGAATGAAAACGGTCATATCGCAGCCAAAAATTGATTTATAAATAGGGGGCTTCAGCCTATAAGTGGCAGGGCATGCAAAATATGCAAAAAACTGTGACTTATAGGCTGAAAATAACCACCTGGAAACACAATGATCAAGATGCTCACATGTCAGTCTGATACTTACATTAATATCAGTGTGATATATTAGCACACAGAGAGCGGGTAAAATCTGTGGACAAAGAAAACAAGACTGTGAGTGCAGGTGAGACATGGAACAAACCCAATAAAATCACAAAAGGGAGAAAAGAAGGCAAACTGAACTAATTGTCATAAAAAGGAGTAAAAGTCACGTGTGATGATGCTGATATGATAACTGAACATGCAGTGACACAGCCCGTACTGACGCTGGGATTAGTCGAGCATAAAACAGCATGTACTCAGACACGCGCACCTCTTGCACAGTCTCCATGGGTGGAGATGGATCCTTGTTGCGGCAGAGGTTAACAATGACCCAGGTAACATTGCGGAGGAAGGTGATGGGGATTGATGGGTTGATGAAGGAGAGCAGAGGCTTGACCACTCCCAGTGAAATGACATAATCCCTGCACTGTGGACCATCACCTGAGCAGGCAACAAGAGAGATCTTTTTCACTGGATAAATGCTCCCAGGGTTTAAATTCACACTTTTTAGCTAGAAGGTGAAACTCACCAATAATGTTTCCCAAAGCCCAAACAGCCTGTTCACATACATTCTGGTGAGGAGAGTGTAGGAGCCGAAGGAACAAGGGCACTGCGTCTGGATATGCAAACATAAACAAATCACATATTTTTGCCCCAGGTTACGTAACAACAGTGACAGTTTCTGAGAACATTCAGAAACATGACTATGACCGAGTCACAACTTTCTACCGACAACATCCCAGACCAAGTAGAGGAATCAACAGTGATCAGTAAACAACCTACTGGCCCTACTCTTACAACAGAAAACTACATCTTCTACAGGATCTCAGTGTTTGCTTCTGCTTTGCCTTAGCTGGCAAACGCACAGCAATGGTTGCAAAATATTTACTTTGATGCAAGCCTGCAGCCATGCTGGCCACTAATGGAATTAAATACTATGCAGGATTCCTACACAATTTTTAAGTTTAAAGTTCTATACTTTTCTAGGCTCAGATAGTCAGAACAATGATCATTTTTAACTTTGCTACTCGTTATAAATTATCTGCACTTAAAAAAACATTTAAAAAAACTTTGGTTTACAAAATGTTCTAAAACAAAATTATAAGTCTGAATGTTTAAAATGGAAGTGTAACCATCTTCAAACCTTTCAGCATTGTGTAGAACGACATATTTTGGCTGATAAAAAGTTTAATCTCTGATTTTGTACGCAGCAGTAAGTTTGCCAAATGTGAAGAGTAAAATTCAGTTTCTCTGCCTACAGCAGTCAGTGTCTTTATTCACAGTTTAAATTAAATCAAAGTCCACTTTTATTTTGAAACCAAATTAAAAGAAAAAAAAAGTCTGACAAATTATAGACTGTACATAAACACAAACTGAAGGGATTACACTGGAGAAGGGTCAACTCACTGGATTTAACCACAGCCTGAGTCTGTGCTGACGTCCCAGACGCAATGTTTGTCAGAGCCCAGGCCGCCTCAAACTGAAGAGAAGGACTGTCAAACAGAAAATAGATACATTAATATAAATTCACAATTTAATTTTTTTCAAGTTATTTTAATCAAAAAGCTGCATTATAAGACATTTTGGGTGCCATATTTTCTGGCGTATAAAGCCCTATTTGCACGGGATTACTTTTACCTAGGGACCACATGCTATTTGTAATAATTACGGAGTTTGTCTATGTTGTTAACCCCGTGTGAATCGGCCATGTCAGTAATTTTGCTGAACTCAGAGGTCCTGTGATAATACAGACCCTTTTCAAAAAATTAGACTATCATTGAAAAGTTGTTTAACTTCCATAATTCCATTCAAAAAGTTCATCTTCAATAGACGATAGATTCAGGGCCCACAATTTAAATGATTTCAAATATTTATTTATTATTTTTTACATAATTTGGGCTTCCAGCTCATGAAACTCACAAAAGCAGGATTTCAAAAAAAAAACTGAATACTGTGAAGAAATCAACCCACACTTCTCAGTTTTTGCAGAAAAAAAAAAGAAATTAGGATCACAACAATCAATCAAAATATGGTGCTTTAAAACGATATGTCAATCTTGAATACTTGGTTGGAAATCCCTTTGCCTTAATCACTGCCTCGATGCAACGTGGCATTGAGTCAATCAGCCTGTGGCATTGACTGGGAGTTATGGAAGCTCAGATTTCCTTGATGCTGTCAGCTCTTCTTTGTTGTTGGGTCTGGTGCCCCTCGTGTTCCTCTTGAGAATACCCCATAGATTCTCAAAGGGGTTTAGGCGAGTTGGCTGGCCAGTCAAGCACTGTGGCATGGGCATCAAACCAGGTTTTGGTGTTTCTGGCAGCATGGACAGGGGCCAGGTCCTGCTGGAAGATGAAATCTGCATCTCCATACAGATCCTCAGCAGAAGGAACCATGAAGTCCTCGAAAACATTCTGGTAGACTGTTGCGGTGACCTTGGATTTAAGAAAGCCGAGTTTACCAACACCTGCACTGGACATTGCACCCCAAATCATGACTGACTGTGGATATTTCACACTGGACCTCAAGCAGTATGGACTCTGTTCCTCACCCTTCTTCCTCCAAACCCTTGGACCTTGATTTCCGAATGAAAGTCACATTTTACTTTCATCGGAAAAGAGGACCGAGGAACCCAACAGTTGTAGCCCATCTCCCGGATGCGTCTGAACGTGGTGGTTTTTGAAGCTGTGACTCCCGCCTCATTCCACTCTTTCTGGATCGCTGCCAGATTATGGAATCTTTTCTGTTTGATAATCCGCTGAAGCCCACAGTCATCTCTTTTGCTGGTGCATCTTCTCCTGCCACATTTTGATCTTCCACTAGACTTTCCATTGATATGCTTGGACACGGCACTCTGTGAACAGCCAGCCTCCTTAGCTATGAACTTTTGTGGCTTACCCATCCTATGGAGGGTATCAACGATGGTCTTCTGGTCAGTTATGTCTGCAGTCTTCCCCATATTGAACCAAACTGAGACAATTGAACCAAACTGAAGCAATTTAATGACACCTGGGGAAACCTGTGCAGGTGCTTTGAGTTTAGTAGATGATTAGTGTCACACTCAGTTGAAAACATTCATGCCCTGCAAAATGTGGGCTGATTTCTCCACAGTATTCTAATTTTTTGAATTCCCGTTTTCATGGGTTTCATGAGCTGGAATCCCAAATTATGTGAAAATAATAAATAAATACTTGAAATTGTTTAAATTATGAGCCTTGAAGATATCATCTATTGCAGATTAACTTTTTGAATGGAATTATGGAAGTTAAACAACTTTTCCATGATATTCTAGTTTTTTGGAAAGGGTCTGTACTAATCCCATGTGAATAGACGTCTCTGTGATTTGGACAGAAATGGACAGGATCCGATACGTAATGAGACGTTTTCTGTTTTTGTTTAAGCAAAATCATTTGGGAAAATATAGAACTAGGATATTTTAAATGAACGCGTTGCTCGCTTCGGCTTTAAAAAAAAAAAATTTTTTATGTTTTGGGTTTTTTTTGCTTCAGCTTTTATGCTGCTACTTCCTTCACTGCAGATGACAGTAGATGCGGAGACGCGCGCATGATCAGCTGACGCACCCATCCATTATATTTACCCGCTTCTTCCTTTTTGGGTAGCGAGATCGCTGGTGCCCACATCCAGCCATCACTGTGCGAGAGGCGGGGGACACCCTGGACAGGTCGCAAGTCCATTTCAACCGGCGGATCAGCGAACGCACCAACGCTCACACGCACGGGCGGTGACAGCTGTCCATCTGAGCTTAACATGGCTTTTTTTAACCTCTTAAACCGGTCAGTCGGACTAGCTTCCTCCTCAACAAGTAGATTAACACAATTTTATATTGTGCATTCTTTAGTTTTCTTTGTGCTGATTCGTAAAAACACATCAAAGCCCGAGACCAGTCCGGCCCGCACATTAAACACATTATATGGACCGGCCCGATTGTGACAACGCAGCGCGTTAACATCATATCTGGAAGATGTCTGTAAATTTCAGCTAAATCTCAGGCTTTGGTTATCGCGTGCGAATGCGCCACATAAAAAGCAGACGTTGGGAGTAATTTATTTGTTACACGTGGTCCTTAGGTAAAACTAACCCTGTGCGAATAGGGCTTAAGTCACAGGGTTTTTGCATAGATTTGTCAGTCCTGCGACTTAAAACGATGAAGCAACTAATATAATTTTTTTTTTTCCATATTCATAATTTTTGGCTGATGCTTTAAATTTCTAAGAACTGAGACGAGTCCTCCTGTGCGCGCTTGCTTCACTCAGCTAGTGCAGGCGGAGGAACGCTGGAGATGAATGGGTGGGTGGATGGCGCCACGCCGCCCAGGTGAAATGCAGCTGTTTTGACCATTAAAGTGCATTTATTAAGGAAAAGTTAAACTGAGACACAACTTTGCTATAATGTCAAGCAAACAAATAATTGTCTTTAATAGTTAATCTTATTAAATTTCAAAGAACTTCAACAGTGAGTCCTCCCATGCGCAATCGCTTCACTCAGCTGGTGGAGGAACGCTGGAGAGCTAACGGCTCCAGCTGTGACGGATGGATGGATGGCGCCGCTTCACCCAGGTGAAATGAAGCCGTTTTGACCATTAAATAAATGCATAATAAACGTGGCTGGTCAGCAGTGATGCATAATAAATGCGACTTATACTCCAGAGCGACTTATATGCCGGAAAATACGGTAAATTTGTACTCGCCATATATTTTTGTTTTCAAAAATATTATTTTCATTAGAAACTGAATAACAACATTTGCCAAAACAAGTGTGCTGGATCTGAGATCAGCTGGCTGCTCTAGATATGAATATTTTCCCTTAATGACTAAACATACAAGCATTACTGCCAAAAAACAAAACATTTTTTACATCAACTGATTATGTGATCCCACAGTGAGACCTCAACAGTTTCTTTTAACAAGTTCTTCTAACTAAACTATTCGCTGTCTGCCCTCAGTGAGTGCAGGGTCCTGGGAATTGAGGAACTCTGAGACAGGAATGTTGATAAATTTGACTTGGCCTGAGCTGAGAGGAGCAGCCAGCTGCCCTGCATGCCTCCACACTCGCATGTGGACACAGCAGAAAAGAGCCCAGTGCATGCGAGACGTCTGTTAGTATGAAACCTTCTGCAGTAGCATCAGATTACAAAACAACAATATTCACGTTGAGAGCAGACTTACTTATCATCCCTTTCCAGACATTTGACTAAAATTGGCAGGATCCCAGACTTTATCAAGTCATCAATGGGAGGGTTTCTGTCACTGGAGAGTAATTTTCTGACAAAACACACAAAGAATAAAACTTTACTGTGTATACAACAGGTGGTGTCAAAACATGCTGTGTTGTGACGTCTACTAACCTGGCTGCCTGTACAGCACTGAGTTGTATAACTGCGTTATCGCTGGTTGCATTCTGCAGTGACAAACACACACGATATAAGAAAACTGAATATTTGGCCGACAGACAATTAGCATTTAGAGAACTACATAAATAAGATGCATACATTGAACAATAAGCAAAGACAAAATAGATTTTTACCTGTAGGATTGCATCAAGTGTAACATTTTGCTGCAAAATAAGAATTGCAGACTATTAATAATTAATTTGTACTCTTTATAAATACTCGTGCAAAAGACCAAGCTGTGGACAAACGGGTACATTTTGGTGAAAAATGTACCTGTTTGCACATGGTGAAAGTCATATTTTATAATTTTAATAAAACAAAATACAATTTTCAGATTTACACTGAACCTTAATGTAGTCTGCATTTAAACATGCAACAATTCAACATTTTGAGTTGAGACTGTTGGAGACCAGTCTGAGACACCACACTAACAGAAAGATGCAACATTTCACCTGGAATTACACATTTGCACAAAATCTCTGCAAAATTTGGGCCAAAATTCATCAAGAATTGACATGAATAAAAAATACAGCTCTAGTGCTCAGGAACAGCATTGAGAGGGGATCGAGATGAGTTTGAGATGCCTGCTACGATACGAGTGTGACTATTTAAAGAAAACTTGTTGTACATGTTCAGAATTCTTCTGATATGAGAAGGAGGCCCTGCGACTCAACAGAAATTTAAACATTTTAAAAACTCCCTCATAAAAATGGTTTGAAAAACATTACCAAGAGTGCAGCTCAGACTCGAGCGTTAAGTTTCTATGAACTTAGTGGATTTTTGTTCTTAGTGGATTAGATATTATTTTTAAACAAAAGCAGATGTGAAATTGACTCATAATTATGACAATGAATAAATCAAAATACCCAGGTGAAACAATACTAAAAAACTAAGTGAATTTAAAAGTTTGGGTACTGTTTGCTAAATTAACAGCTTGTCCTGGTATAAATGTCTCTGATTCAGATTAGATAAATGATTGGAGATTTTTAAGGTTTAAAAAAAAATCTTTAGATAAAGATAAAGTTTCTCCATCGACATTTGGCTGTGAATATAAATAAACTGAGCTGGTGGAAAGTAGCCTAACCTTACTGTTGATGAAATTATCACAATATTTTGGATTTCCATCAACAGTTAAAACGTGTGCATGTTCTGGCTCTGAATTGTAAAAACATTGCTATAGAATTAGGGATGCACCGATCCACTTTTTTTTTTACTTTCAATCCGATCCCCAAATCTGGATAACAGCCGATACTGGTACCTTTCCGATATCATCATCCTCGTTGATTTTATATGAAGCTGTAATAATCTCCTCTCAAGTACAATTTGTACGAATATATGCATGCATGTCCAAAAAGGCAACATGAGGTAAGTTTTATTAATGTTGAATAAGTTTCAAAGTTGGAATTAAATTCTGCTAACACAAAACAAGTTTGTTTTTTGTTTTTTAGCTTTAAAGTGGATATTAAAGTGATTAATTTAAGTGACTGTTTAAAGTTATATTTTTTTAAATAAGGGGCAGATAAGATTTTTTTTCTTCTTTCTGTAGTCTTCATTCAATGTTTTTTTTTCTTTTTGATGGTTTTGTTTTTGTTTCTTTTAAATTAATGAATTTTTTAAAAAATGTAATGGCTTTAAACATCTGCTAAGTTCATGGCATAAAAAACGTTCTCGTTTTCAGTATTTTACAATGATTTATAATGTAGCTGTTTTTTTTTTTAATATAATTTTCTTGTTATTTTCAAATCATGTTTTTTTTATGATTGTCTACTGTTGTACTGATAAATATCTCCTGGAGGGTAAACTATATCTTGGCTGCAAGTATCAAGCTGTGAAATCCTTCGTTTTCTACAACTGATAGTGGTTGGTCATTAATTACGAGGAAGTTTAGCAACTTCTCGGTAAACATTTGAGCTCCGTGGCTTCAGCGGTGCGCTCCTCTTGTTCAATCTGAAGCAGGCGGTCTGATTTCGGTCAGCCGTGCTCAGTCTGCCCATCCTCTGAGACAGGCAGACTGAGCGAGGCCGGGGTCGGGCTGCCTGCTTCAGATTGAGCAAGAGGAGCTTGTTGGTTAGATGTTAGCCACAGTGCTACTGCACGTTTTAGCTGGCTACAAACTATGAACTGGATTTCCTGAATGTGAGGTGGGTCTTATTACTCTGGGTTCATGAGACACGCCTCCGTTCAGGAAATCCATTCCATAGTTTGAAGCCAACGTGCAGAGCAGCTGGCAGGGAATCACGAGGAGATGTTTCAACAGACACAGACATGCATCATGGATCGAAAATCTTTGCAGGTTGGATCTGAAAAATCTGATAGGTAAATTATGCTGGTATCGGAGGCCGATACCGATAATGGATCGGCTCCATCCCTATATAGAATAAACTTTAACTAGGGACATGTTTAATTACAACAACTCTGAATTTGACAAGTTTACGTCTACAATAAAGCAGTAGGATTAAAATAAGATAAAACAGAACATTATTTGTCACACACCAAAGAGGATGGATTTAAGCCCCACTCCACTCCCACCATAATTCATTGTTCACATAGTGAATGTTAAAGAAATTCTCAATAAAGCCTATAGATTGCTTGAATTTAATAACATCAAGGACTTTTCCTCTATTCATCACCCTATTCAGGAGAAGGCAGAGGTTTTAGAATTGGAAGCCTTGGTGTTCGATGTAGTTCAGTTTGACTCAAACAACAAAAAAAGCTTTTCTGTCCATCATTGTTTTCTTTTTGAAACAGACACAATCACTATAACAACCTGTGCAGTAATCTGGTATGAAGCCCCTTTAAAAATCACAACTCTAGATTTTTTTTTTTTTTACCAATTCCCTTTCAGCAAATCAAAATAAAATGTTCACTGAATTAAGTTTTTTTATGCCATCTTCCCTGAGCAATAATGCGTCTTTCAATATATTGTTGTCTTTTAGGCTTTATATACAGAATGATTTGCTTCTCAACAAAGTTCATGCTCAATCCTCCAGGTACCAAATCCAATAATTCTCAGTCGGGTCATCTGGAAAGTTAACTTTTCTCGCCACAACTGTGGCTTTCTTTATGTCAAAATAAACCAACATGGTTAATAGATCAACAAATGCACTGTTTACCTGTTTAACCTGACATCTAAATAGCCTTGTCTCCCACTTTAGCACATCAACAGCACACACACACACACACACACGCAACTTACTCCTTTGAAGTCTGAGTCCACATCAGAGTCCTCCAGACTCTCCTCCTGTGGGACATTTCGCTTCTTCAGTAAATGCTCGTCTCGTTTATTCTGACAAAAGGAGAGAACACAGAAGATCAGAGAGGAAAGGAGATCAAAGAATCCAATAACGCATTCATAAATTCTTAAACACTGAATCTAGGTCTGTCTGAAAAACAGCCGTCTTTGTCTTTAGTGCAGCCTTGTGTCAAACCTCAGCAGGTAATCAAATATCCTACAGGGTAAAACACAAAACAAGCTTTGCTGAACCCTGAGTCTCTAAACCCCAACAAGCTCTGCAGCCCTGACAGGCACATATTCAGTCAGCATCCATCTGTCTGCAGGGCAGTCAGTGGTAGGAGGAGATTCCCTTGCCCTACATTCTTGTGCATCACGCTGATGTGCGTCACTGATGACTAATCAGCCAGTGCTTCGAGTTGCTCTGATCCAGCTATATGGAATGTGTTCCACTCAGGGCCCCTTCAGTACGGAGGGGATGTTTAAGACCTGTAGCTGAGCCCGTACACTTGCACAGTAATGATAATTCAGCCTTTTATGAACATGCATAAAGTTTGCCAATTAAAAAAATGTTCATCTACAGGATAATTTCCTCCACTTGAAACTGAAACGCTTTATATTTTGCTCCAATCAGGCTCACAATGGATGTATCCAGATCTGTTTTATGGATTCATGTCCTCAGAACGAGAAGACACTCTCACTTTCCAACACCCATATACTTTTTCTTATTACAGAGACCAAGTAGAAACAACTTTTGTACAAAAGTCGCAAATACAAAAATACCTATTACTCAATTTAACAGTGAGCTAAAATGTGGTGCAACAGCAACTGAGACTCATGCCCAACACATATATCAAACAATAACAGGTCATGCAAGATGGTTTTTTAAACTTTGGCATCCAAGGTGGAAGGCAATATACATCCCTTCAAGGAATGCTAGCTTATTAATAAGAGACTGGACTTCACATCGTCAGATGCTAAATTCACGCCGAAGCAAAACTAAATTTTTAATCCAGCTTAGATGTTTAAGAAATTTCACGTCACCATGGTTTTATATTTTATTTCATGTAACCGATTTATACACAATACAACCCAAAACAGCCTGTTTAAAGAGAAAATAATCCTGAAATAAATCAAACAAAAAAAGGTACATCATCACATAAAACAACATGAATTCAAATGTTTTGTTAAACGTTTTCCATTTTGATCAATATCAGTCTTGCTAACAACTTAATCTGATAATGAGGTCATGAAAATTTCCCTGATTTTATTTATTATTACTTCCATCACATTCCTTATCTTGCCATGTATGCTTGCTTGTATGACTCCCACATCTTTGTGAGCTGGCAGGTTGTTGCACACTCTGAAGAGTTTCTTCAGGCAAGTCTGTTGCAACTTCTACTTTGTAAAAACAGCCCAACTGTGCCTGTATATTCCTCATTATGGTGATGAAACAGTGAAAGCTCTTCCTCCTCTCTATCTGCTGTATAACAGATATTTTAAAGTTGCTATATTTGCTGCTTGGTCTTTATACTTGAGGAAAACCAGCTTCATGGAGCTGAAAAGATGCTAAACAGTGATCTTGAAGAGGTTTCCTTCTGGTTAGTTGTTTGTGCATTTAGAGGAGAGAGGCCATGGTATTAAGTGCGCATGTGTGTGTGTGTGTGTGTGTGTGTGTGTGTGTGTGTGCGTGTGTGTGTGTGTGTGTGTGTGTGTGTGTGTGTGTGTGTGTGTGTGCTCCAATAGCAAAAAATAAAAAGGTTTCTAAGCTCAATCATCCAGGTAGATAAAAACAAAAAAGTTAAATCAGGCCATCTCAACAATAGTAGTAGCTTATTATAATAATAAAAGAAAATATTAAAATTACTTTTAGTTTAAAAAGGAGGTATGACCATGTATCCTGACCTAAAAAAACATACAGGCTGTTGTCATGTTTGTGTGGAAATAGAGGCTACTCAGTCTACTGACTGAACTAAGAATGTCTGCTTGTCACAGAAACACAACTTATTCTGCATAAGATTTTAATAAAATTTAAAAAAATTAAAAAATGCTTCTTTTTTTTACAAAATAAAAATATTTCCACAAATTTTGGCAGCTGGGATATTTATTTTAGCTTAAGTACAGCTGCTTTTTGACCTGATTCAAACATATTTGACGTGTGAAATCAAACATAAACTGCATGACGTGTCCTCCTGTTTCTAAATCTGTCACCACCCTGCATCCTTTATATTTCTCATTACAAACACAGGTGAATGTATGAAGGAGCAGTTTTTGCATTTGCTTTGCTAGCAATGATGCAGGCTCAATGAATGAAATGTTAAAATACAGATGAAAATACGTAAAAGACGGGTTATAGCTTTAGGTGGACAATTTAAAGGCTGTGAACAGCAGGAATGGGTCATTCAGCTTCAGTAAGTGTATAATCTTTAACTGATCACTGACTTATAAAAAAATGTTATGTTGCAACTTATGATGAGGACAAGACTGATTAATAACCTAAAGTAACCATCTTAATTTAGTTTCTGTCACAAGCTCCAGCAGAAGCAACATGGTTTCAGTATTTAATGTAAATCATTGGGATTGTTTGTAGTTTAATACTAGTAAAGAATGTGCATTCACTGTGGCAATATGTAAAGGAAAGTTTGAAATGTAAATTTGATTTGATGCCTTTAAAAATACAGGAAACACCTTTAGTGATGTAATGTTAATGTAGTAATGTAATAACGTGAGTACTCACATAATTAGTGAAGTAATCAACAAACACTAGAAAACTAAAATTATTTGATAGCTGCACCCCAACATAAAACGACAACTAAACAATTACAATCTGCTAAATGTGATCTTATTAAAATATATTCTTGGCACTCTTTCAGGTCTATAGCAACAGTACCGTTTCTTCTACTCTGAGTTTGTGCTCCCTCCCAAAATTCTTTAATATATCAGCAATAAATATCAATTCAATTCAGTTTATTTATACACTGTAGTGCTAGGGGCACTGTACATCTGTAACACTGTATATCCCCTCAGGCACTGTTCAAGTCCCTAAAAAGAGCCACAGGAAATGATGCAGCTCTAACATGTAAAATCTACACTCAGCTCTCCAACTCAAATAATATGTTGATGATAAACCCATATCTATCTAAAAAGTTAAAACTTTATACCATAATTACCAAACATGATTTAAAAACATCTATTAATACACAAAACTAATATTTCTTAGGAAACAGTTTTAAAAATGCAAATGACCCAACAGATGATTAAAATAAGGTTAATTAAAGTGTGTTTAAAACATTAATGATTTTCAGTTGGCATGTCTTTATCATAGTGTCGTAAAAAAAGGAGCAACAAAAAAATGATTGAAAATCTTCACAAAAAAAATGTGTATCAATATTCTTACAAATTTTCATCAAAAGGATATCAAACTTCATTAAAATTATCCCTAATGTCAGCTGCTTCTGAAGCAGTGAAAAGGACCGCGGGGATCAAACAATGCAAATTTATGTTGCATCATTTGTAATACTTTGTAAGACAATGGGAATGCTGAACACCAGTGCAACCAGCTTTCACTGAAGGGATCACTGGTGGTGATTAGAACAAATGCAATAATTTATGCCTGTTTGTATCAAACTGTATATACCGTCTGTCAACAATGTCTCCGTAAAAAGTAGCAACAGTGGATTTAGTCAAAAATATAAAAATTAAAAAAAAAAAACACCAGCCAAGAGCACATGGCCAACAACTAGCAAATAACCTTTAACCCGACAAAGAAAATCCATTTACACAGCAAGAAAACCAGTTTCATCTGACGTTAGGTTACAGATATACAAGCCTAAATCATGTGACGTTACTTCAGCTGTACAGATTTCCACAGGTGGTATGGTTTACTCTAAACTGATCAACAAAAAGATGTTAGTATGTTGGAGTCAGACGTACATGTTGGCAGCCATCAGACAGAGGCTTGATGTGTCTGTTAACGAGCGTTGTAATGTGCATCTTTTCTTACCTTTCTCAACTCAACTGTCACTTCATTTCGATGTCTTCTCATAGTCTGCAACAAGAAAAAATACAGGGAACAAGGAAAAAGGTCATGTTTGTTATATATTTACCAGTCGCAAAGCATGCACTGTACATGAACATGTGTGCACCTAATGTAAGGTAGAACATAAAAAAAATAACGTTTACATTATTGACAGAACATTTTGTTTGAGGATTGTAACATTATTTTAAAACCAAAAAAATATATGAATAATGACTGTTTAGTTTAGGCCCCTGTAACCTAATTCTGTTGATAGCAATCACTACCAATAAGGAAGGTAAGAGATGTTATTAATAATAATAATAATAAATAATAATAATAATAATAATAATAATAATAAATAATAATAAATAATAATAATAATAACCTAGACACGATCAAGGTGATGGTGGGGAGTGGTGGCACAGAGATTAGAGAAGGTGGGCCTGTGATCGGAAGGTTCAACTTTCCAGAACGACAACATAAAAAAAATGTGGGTGGAAAAGGTGAAACACCCACACCTGCCTCCACCCTCATTTGCCCCACTCTGGGCCCTTGAGCAAGGCCTGCTGCTCCCCTGGTCGCCCTAGATGGCAGCTCTCTGCTCCACACAGAGAGCTGTGGTAGCTCAGTGGGCTGTGGTTGCGTGAGGAAGGGCATCTGGGGTAAAAACAACTGCCAAGTTTTTGTGCGAGTTTAGTTTGTTGTGGCGACCCCTGAAGAAGGGAGCAGCCAAAAGAAAAAGGGGGAAAAAACAATCAAAGATGAGAAACGGTTTAACGATTTAACTAATTGCTGTATTTGTGCATTTGCTGGGTTTCCAGCTCATCCACAACAAGTTGAGATGTTCCAAGATCTTGTGACTGTTTAAAGAGGTTCATGTTGCCTTCCTAAATAGTCTCTTACGTAACTCAGGGGGGGTCATAACTCAGGAGGCCATGGAGCAGAAAGGTGTCTCCAGTCCCAACCACTGAAAAAACAATGCTAATGCTGCTATAGCGACCCAAACATAAATTGCTTTAACAAAACATCAAGCCTAACTACAGTACAGCATTATAAAAAGGTCTGAATGCTTACTTTTTAAAAATGTGTTACAGATCAAATTTGTTTGTACCCAGAATATTAATGGGTGTAATGTGCATTTAATATATGAATGTTTGTTTACAGGGGCAACACAAAAACTGACCCAAAAAGTTTGTCTTTTTTTCCCAAGGTAAGAACATGGGATTATGGAATTACAAGAATAAAAAAAAATAAAGATACCCTTAGTAATATACTTTAAAAGGTTAAGGAATGTTACTGGAGTCCAGGGTGCATAGTATGAGAAACAACTTTTCAATTCAATAAAGTGTCAGAAATGGGGCTGACCTAAATAAACAAAACTAAACTCCCCCCTCCCCACTCTTTGCTGCAGTCTGAGTCATCCATTTTCAAAACCCCAATTTCATGCTGAGGTTCTAAGAAGGACTGGGTCAGACATCCAAGATGCCTGAAATAGCATCAGGAATGCACTTGGCAGAGACTGTCACAGTAGCCATGTGCTTGTCCGACAGACTTCCAGTTTCAAAACAACTACCTACAGAGGCATCATTGTCTGATTTGGGAAACTGATGGTGAAACTCCAGTCACCTCTTTCTAGTGGATTTGGAAGGGCCATTTTCAGATATACAGGTACCTTTGTTTGGGGATTATCTTGGGATTTACCAATAGATCAAAACAACTTAGCACAAGTATGTTTGCGTTGGCAAATCCAGCAGCAGAGAAGAATACACTGTGGTACATTGCTTAAATTTTATAGACATTTGAACAGGTCTAGAATGATGCCTTTAAACCATTTATCATCGTTTGTTGAAACTAACAGTCTTCTAGTATTCTGGTCATTTTGTCAATGAATGCAGAAAGATGAACAGATTATCACAAGACTTGTCAGCTGAATTATGAAGGACCAACACTGAAATGTGAAACATAAAAGCATAACAGTGACATATTCACACAACAGAGTAAATTCACCTTGTCCAATAATGACCACATGTAACGTTTCATTGAGGAGAAACTGCAAATAATCTTAAGGTCATCACATCTTTATCATTCAGCCAAAGCTGTTAGTGCTTTAGCTAACATAGCTCGGTTAGCTTGCACATGTTAGCACGCTAACGAGGAGTGGTGGGTAAGGTGGAGGTGGACGGTCTCTTAACTAAACCCAAAACCAACGTTTTAATTATAATGGTGGTCACATGTGACGTTCACATGTTAGCATGAACGTTTAATAAAGTCGGTTGGCTGGAAAACACCAAATATTTCGATTAATAAAGCCGGGCAGGCCCAGCCTCGCTCACGACCGGTGTCCAGCCAACCAGCTAGTTAACGTTAGCAGGTAGGTGTTGTACCGAAAAATGCACCCCGGCTATAGAAGTATCTCCGTCGCGGAAAGCCCATTTCAAGGCATTTCCATTTTAAAGTCAGAAGTGACTAACAGAAGATATTAAGAGCATACCGTTTTGCCATTATTTCAAATCAATTAATGTGTACATGTGTTGATTTAGTGTTTAGAAGCTATCATGAAATACCAGAGAACATATTCTGGCCGGAAACCTTAAACTGTTGTAGAATCTCTCATGACATGTCAAATAAAAACAAAACAAAAAATGTTGTTTAAAAAAAAATGCAGCTGGACTACTATCCTGTAGTTGAAGACATGTCCGATTTCGTTTTCCATCTGGAGATCTTACATAAACTCAGAAGTGAAGAGTGTGGATATTCGAGTTTTAAAGCACTTTGTACAAAACACTTAAATGCGTCTTTAAAGGTAGTGAAAATCACAAATCAGCTAGTCAAGTTGGCCTTGTCCTTCATTTATTAGTAAACAACTGTCGAAAACTGTGCCTTGAAATGTTCTCGTGATGGGGAGTGCTTTGGATGGCAGGGGTGCTTTTTTCAGTACAACACCAGCCTGATAGCTAAATCGCTTGCCCTTAATTCTTACAGTTTCAGCGGCCCAAGTGTGATGTAGCTTGCAGTTCCAACCAGAGTTGCTATTGAAGTTGTGCAAGGAACTTTTGTTAACCTAAAGTCTACCACAGCCACCAATTTAAAGGATTAATTTAACTGTATCAACAGTGGGACCTGTGATGGTGAACATGTAGCATGTAGTAGCTTGCATTAGCTAACTAGCTAGCTGCCCGTTCGGAGTGCAGTTTCAACCGAGGCTAGGCTACCAAATGAGGCCCGGATGCAATAATTTTTAACATTAAACTTTTTATTTTATTACCATTACATTTGCTTTCTTATGTTAGCTTACCTCGACATCGCGTCCTTTATTTTTAAAGCTTTTAATGCGGTGGTTTTCCAAGCCGGCGTTATCTGCCATGGCTGAACGGGCCTTTTCTCCGGGTGTGTGTTATCCCCTCCGTGAAAGACGAAGCACACTGCTACTGCTCCACAGGAGGACGTAACAGAACGCAGAGTGAGGGGAGGAGTCAAAACCTCCCCTCCTCCCCTCCTCTCCTCTCCTCCCTCCCCGCTGCTGGGCTGTCATGGTTTCCGCTTCTTCACCTGCGATCAAGTCAAAGTACTCCCACCATAACGGAGGATCTCATAATGAACTTGCCACATATTTTAAAAAGCTTTCATCTACAGTCTGACCCTATTAGTCCCATTTTTAACAGAATACATTGGTTAATGTATTGCACAGTGCTGTCAGAGAATAAAAGTTACATTTTCAATCATTCTAGCTATTAAATCCTGCATACTAGACACAAAATCTGTATTCCACGCATCTTTATCTACAATCTGTATTCCGCTTTGATACTGTTGACCACAGTATCCTTATATCACGGTTAGAACACACTACGCAACATTAATGGTTCCATACATAGCTAAATTACATTTCTGTGTTAAGGTTGGAAATAGTGTATCCGTGTCAGTGCCTCTTTCCTGTGGGGTCCCACAGGGCTTGATTCTTGGACACCCTTTTTTTTCACTCTATTGGCTCCAATTGGGTCTGTCCTGAGGAAACATTGGCTTTCATTTCATTGTTATGATGACTGTCAGATTCATCTGCCCTTAAAACCTAACAGTTCATGCACAATTTGTCCAATGTTAAAATGTCTTGATGACATGGCATGGATGGCTTCAATTGTTTTAAGTTTTAATGATCAGAAAACTGAAGTCTTATGTTTAGCTCTAGCTCTACCGCGGTCTCTGATAAATCTTGACTCTCTTCAGCGTTATCTTAAACAGTCTGTTATGAATCTTGGGATGGTTTTAGACTCTGACTTTGTTTAATAAACAGATTAACTCTGTTCCACACACACACAAAAAAGCTTATTCAGGTTAAGGTTAAGCTATAAACGTAAGTCCGTGTTAACCAGATCTGACCTTGGAAAAAAAAGTCCATGCATTCGTTACAACTCGGCTGGACTACTAACACGCTTTATGTTGGGGTCAGTCAGATGTCCCTTTCATGTCTCCAGCTTGTCCAAAATGCTGCAGCTCGGCTCTTAAAAGGAACTTGCAAGTTTGAGCATATTTCACCAGTTTTGTCCTCCCTTCACTGGCTCCCTGTGCGTGTCAGAACTGATTTTAAAATTCTCCTGTTGATCTTTAAGTGCATTACTGGCCTTGCACCCTCATACCTCTCTGACCTACTTAAACCATATGTTCCTTCTCGGGCGCAAAGATCATCTGATCATCTGACCATCTGCTTTTGGTTGTACCAAAAACCAGTGTAGTGAACTAGACCTCCTACATCAGTCTGTCTCTGAAGACCTTCAGGGGACAGGAACTGTTATTTCATTGATTTGAATCCAGAAATACAAATGATCTCATCAAGAGACTATTTAATTGTATCCTGAATTAATCAATTGAAAGAACACTTCTTTTTTATATTATCATTACTATGTTACAATATCTTGATAATCAAAAGTGTGTTTAGTTCATACCATTTCTAATGTTGAAGTAAACCACTCATTTAAATAAACTGTGAAACAGTATTAATGATTTTTAAACCTCATTAGACTTAGATCATACAAGTTAAATGTCTATTTACGAAATAAGTGTGCATTTAGTCTTCTGTCTGAATGAGGAGTGGATTTGATGTCGGTCAAAAGTCAGAGAACAAGTTATGAGAACGAAGTGCCTTGTTTTAAAACTCTCAGACAGTAAATAAGAAACTGGCACCTGCAAACTCTGTCACTTCTTCAAAATATTTTCCTGTCTGTACTAACCATTCTTAAAAACATTTCTGCTGTCTGTTGACTTTTAATAACCCTCTGACATCACTAAAACTCCACCCCTGCTGGTTGTGTTAACCAATCAGGAAGTACCAAGTGACAGGAAGTGGATACCCTTTAAAAGTCAACACTTCTTGGAACTATTCAGTCTTCCTGGAATTTTAAGGCTGACAAGTCTTCCTGGGACTTTCAGTCTAGGATGAGACTCAGTCTTACTGGAAGACTCAGTCTTACGGCGAGTCGTACAGGAACTTTCAGTTCTTACTGAAAGTCTGTTTGGAGTTCTGTCTGGGATTGCAGTCTTGCTGGAGTCTTACAGCTGAACTAAATAGCTGATGAATTGGACCATGTGCCAAGGGTCCCTCCATTTCAGCGGAGTCACAGTATGCCTCGCTGTGAACTCACCCCGAGCATTAAATGCTCTCAACTTCTAAGGAAGCTTATTCTGTTGAACGGAGTACCATCACTACTTCAGACGATTACCAGCCACTCTGACCGGAGACGCTGAAAAGGGAGCGTGAAATGGACCTCTGTACCGGAGCTGATTTATCTTCTGCAAAGGTAAAGAGTCGTCACACCCTGAGGGTGCCGAGGGCTGAGCTGGGGTCGAAAGAAGGGTGCCATTCCGGGTCAACACATTTTCCTTCCTCCATCTAAATCTCCTCTTTAAATCTAAATCTATCTTCTCTGTAAACCTCTTCGCCAGTAAATCAAGCTAGATGCCTTCAGAGATGAATTATTCTCCATCAGTAATCCTCTGTTGTCTTGTTATTTGAACTTGCTAAGTTTATTAATCAGAAACAGATCAGCAAATTGAGTGTACATGTTTGATGTTAAATTTTGATTCTGTTAAATAAATGGCCGCATTTATTCTGGTGGGTCAAAGATAAATGGCGTCTCATGTCACTAATTATACACTCCACTCTCAAATTATCTTGGTCACATGGCAGAATTTTAACTAAAACAAGAAAGAATCTGTTGTTAATTAAACAATTAATATTCTTTGTGCTTGAACTAGCTTTAAGAATAATTAATTAAGTAGTGTCCACAGCGAAAGCTGTCCTGTCATACTACACCAGGTTGAAGCTCAGAGGAGATCGGGCTTTTTCAGTCATTGGCCCTAAACTCTGAAACAATCTGCTCCTGAACATTAGACAGGCCACTTCACTTCCTGCTTTTAAATCTCTCCTAAAAACACATCTGTATTCACTGACGTTTAACACAGTAAGATTTGATTTACTATTTCATTCTCATTGTTTTTCTGTTTAATTTTCAATGCTTTTAATTACATCTTTTTTATTTTTGCTGGCTTAATCTTATTGTTGATGACTTCACATCTACCTTCAACACCATGATTCACCAGACCTTGATGGACAGACTACTCACACTAGAACTAAGTCCTTCCATATGCAGCTGGGTCCTGGACTTCTTAACAAACAGACCACAGTGTAGGGGGATTGGGTCTGGATATATATTGTAAATTATCAGTTATGAGTTAAGCTCATAAGATATGCAGTTATTATGCAAATAACCTTGTTGAGTGGGCACCAATTCTCTTTGAGAGGAAAAATCGTTGGTTACGTACTGTAACCCCAGATTATATAAGTATAGGCGTAGCCCTTAAAGGTTGTTGCTTGTGGGTTTTATCCCATCATGCAAAGCATCGCACTGAAAAAATTAGTCCACGCCCACCTGTTGTGTGGGCCCCACCCGGTCCGTACAAATTACGTTAAGAGCGGGTAATTGGCTCCCAAATAACTTTTATTCTTCAGCCATTTAGGAGCCAGTGAGGCCCGACGCTTAAAGGGCTATACTCATAGAATCTGGGGTTACAGTACGTAACCAGCGTTCTATTTCGTATAGGCTTCGCACTTTAAGGCTGTCGCTGGTGGGTTAAGGGCGAAGCAGATGTAGTCTCCGCCTCACTGGGTCCATTCGAACACCATATGAAGCGCCCGTTTTCCCAAAAATACATCTTGTCACTCAGGTCTCCATGTGCGTGAACACGCATTGCGTAAACACGCATTGCGTAATTACGCGCACCATGCACAGACGCGCACTGCATAATTTTATGCATTCCGAGTGCTTGTACGCCCTGGAAAGGTTTTCAATGGAAAAGAGGAGAGGCTGAAAAAGGCCATGAACAGAGCAGATCCACAGCTCTTCAATATGAACAGATTAATAATAAATTAACTGATTATTAAACAAATTAACTGATTGGTGACAATAGTCATGAACTGATTAGTGACCAAAGAACAAGAACAACAGTCATAACCTGTGACTGATAACAACATCTCACACTGTAATGCATGCAGTCAGATGTGAGTTTAAACGAGACTCCATGCAACAATAATATTCATTCTGTTAAGGCACTAAGGACAGAACGTGTCATGGAACAAGCTGACACATCACATAAATAAAAGCGAATAAATGAACAGGGTGTTTACCGCAGCGCAAATATCCTGCAAAGCAGTCGAAGATTCGATACCTCTGGTCGAGTGTGCCCTGAGGTTATCAGGAGGCTCTAAATCTGATGCTCTGTAGGCTTCAGAAATGGCCTCACACAGCCAGTGTGACAGGCGCTGGGTGGATTACCGGCGACCTGCAGATGCATCTCTATAGTGCACAAACAAATGTTGAGTCTGACGCAATGCCGCCGTGCATGCTAAGTAACACGTCAACGCACGTACAGGGCAGAGAAGATGGAAAGATGATTCTTCTTCTGATTTGTGGGGAGGAGGGAAAAATCCCTCCAACGATATCGCTCTTGATTTAAATGAGCTTGTGATGTTTTTAGGCATAAACGCTGGATTAGGCCTCAGATCAGCTGAGCTGCCATCAGCCTGAATTCTGAGACATGACGGAGCGACAGAGAGGGCAGTTAAATCACTCACCCTCTTAGTGGATGTTAAAACCAGCAGCAGGGCTGTTTTAAGAGACAGGAATTTAATCGGAACCTGATCTAGTGGCTTGAATGGAGCTTTGATCAGGGCTCACAGAACCAGCGTTAAATCCCACTGTGGAGAAAGTGGGCGTGAAACAGGCCTGTGTCTCTGTACACCTTTTAAAAAAAAGCTTCATCAGCGGATGATTAAAAGCTGTTCGGTCCCCGAAACCTTTGTGACTAGATGAGATGGCTGCAGCGTACGTTTTAATCGTGTTGAACGCCAGATTTCTGTCCATCAGCTGCTG